TCCCTGCAGCGTCCGCTTCCCAGACATGGCTGCAAACGTTATCCCAGTGGTGAGTTACAGGGGCATCAAGTACGTTCCAGCCAGCCCCAAAACCTGGAGAGTGACTGGAGCTGGGGTGTTTCTGATAGTGGCCTCACAAGAAGCAATACTGTTTCAATCCCTAAAGAAATAGAGGACTTTTGATGCTGTAGTTACCTGTCATTTGAAACCATTTTAAAGTATTTTTTAAGGAAGTGATCTGAAGAGTGCTTTTACTTAAAAGTGCAATAGTTCATATCATTGCAAAAACAATTTGGGGGTTAGAACAATTGATAGTTGTTTGGAATGTACTTTAAGGTTGCTTGACTTCAGCTTTGTTTACCAAGAGATATATATGCAGTCTTATTTGTCTGCAAGCACAAGGAAGACACTTGTGCACAGACTTAGCCGTGCTGCTCTGTGTGCTCATGTTTGCTCTGTTGTGCTAGCTGATGGAGTTCCTCAGTGACAACAACGAAGCAGCAGCTGCTGATGTCTTGGAGTTTGTGCGGGAAGCGATCCAGCGATTTGATAACCTCAGACCTCTTATTGTTGAGAAGATGCTTGAAGTCTTTCATGCTATTAAATCTGTCAAGTGAGTCCAAAATTTGAAATCAGACTGGAGCCACCCTGTGGCTCTCTTGTGTTGAATGTACATTGTCATTAAATATGTACTAAAATCCCTACAACCCACACACAGAAAAGAAGAACTGAAGCCGAGGTATTCCTTGATGCATGACTGAAGTTTCTGCTCTTGTCTTAGGATTTATCGAGGAGCTTTATGGATCCTTGGAGAATATTGCAGCACCAAGGAAGATATACAAAGTGTAATGACAGAAGTTCGCAGATCACTTGGAGAGGTGTGTTCACTTTGCTGGACCAGCTCTTGGGGGGCTTACACACTATTGTGCAGTGGGTTTTCAAAGAGAAAGATTTTTTTTTTAAATCGGGTAAGATGCAACAGGGTTTTAGCACTTCTGGTATGTAATTGTGTGTGCACAAGAAATCAGAAGTAAAAAATAGGCTTTTGCATTTGTTATTAATATTTTTTTCAGTAGTTCTGAAAGGGTCTGACAATCTGTGTGATGTGAGCTTTATTGTGTGGATTCTGTCTATATTTCAGCCTATCTGATCAAATTCTTTCAAAACTGTTGCACTGTAACTGACCTTGTACTTATAAAAACCTTAACAATGGGGATAACTTTTACTAAAGTCTTCTGCAGAACAAAAATACCTTTTCTACATTAATTGTAACAAGTATTTTGTGTTCGTTTGTAGATCCCAATAGTAGAATCTGAAATCAAGAAAGAAGCTGGTGAGCTAAAACCTGAAGAAGAGGTGTCTGTGGGTCCAGCCCAAAAACTGGTGACAGAGATGGGCACTTATGCAACACAGAGCGCTCTCAGTAGTTCCAGACCTGCCAAAAAGGAAGAGGACAGGTATTTGAGATTTCATGCTAGGCCAGGAGTGACCTGGCTAGGTTTTTCTTAGTGGCATTCTCTCATACAGAGTTTAGTGGTTGAGGTAATTTTCTAGTTTAAGGTATTATCCCACATAGATTTTATCTGACAGTAAGTTGCCCATCTGCGTAGGATTTCTAATCAAAGCCTACTTCATATCAAAAAGGACACTGTTCATTGTGGTATCCTAAGCTGTAGTTGATTCTTTATAATTTATAAAGTCCCCTTGCAGTTTTAATTAGATATAGAGATGTTGCCATCAGATTAAAACTTTTTTTAGTATCAGCTTGCACTGTTTAATACTTGCTATAGCTTATTGGTAGTTAGCACAGTTGCACTGTTTCCTTAACTGCTGCAGATGGGCTACTTCATCTGACTAGTCATTATCATCTCAGAGCTACAGTGGAGTTATTATCCATTACACATTTCACTTCACTCTCTATTCTGTGTGGAAAAGGCTGTGTGGCTTGTGAGTATCTCTGCATCTGGTAAATTCCTTCTAGAGGGAAAAATCAACTTCTGCAACCTTGCAGTCTTGTTTTGTTTGTACAGTTCAGAGGTTAAGGTATGCAGTAAGTAGGCTAAAGAGTGTCATCCAAAACTAGTTTTCTGATTATCATTTGTCTTTGCAGACCTCCCTTACGAGCATTCCTACTTGATGGTGATTTCTTTGTGGCAGCTTCCCTTGCTACAACTTTAACTAAGATTGCTTTACGATATGTATCTCTAGTCCAGGAGAAGAAGAAACAAAATGTAAGTCATCTGTTGTGTTTTCACTGTAGCTGCAAAGAAGAGGTGGTTGTTGCTTCTTTTATACAGATCCAAAATGGGTTAATTCCAAAGTGAAGTGTCAGTTATGTGTTTGAATAACAGTGATAATTTGGGTTACAAAGTGGGCCTGCTGCTTTCCAGCCACTCTGAAACAGTCTCTAGATCGTGGTGCTTGGTTTCTGGATAATAAATACTAAAAAAAAAAGTAATCACATCATAAAATCTCTGAACATAATAATGTGTACCTTTTTGTAAATAAGTCAGAAATAAAGATTTCTGTAAAGCTGTGTAAAATGCAATAACCTCCTTCCATTCTCTTCCATTCTCTTTCCTTTGTCCTTCTTCTCAGTCCTTTATTGCTGAAGCTATGCTGCTGATGGCCACTATTCTCCATTTGGGAAAGTCTTCTCTTCCCAAGAAGCCAATTACAGATGATGATGTGGATCGGATTTCCCTGTGTCTGAAAGTTTTGTCAGAATGTTCTCCTCTCATGAATGATATTTTCAACAAAGAGTGCAGGCAGTCCCTCTCTCATATGCTGTCAGCCAAGCTAGAAGAGGAGAAACTTTCCCAGAAGGTGAGCTATTACACGTGTGTAACCATAAATGCAACATTCAAACTGGTCCCAGAAATGTCACCAGAAATGACTCTGTGTAAGTCAGCCATTATTTAACCATATTTCTGTCCTAAGCAATGGAATTCATTGTGAATTCTTGATAATTTCTCTTCCTGCAGAAAGAATCTGAGAAGAGGAATGTGACGGTTCAGCCAGATGATCCCATTTCCTTCATGCAGCTTACTGCTAAAAATGAAATGAGTTCAAAAGAAGACCAGTTTCAGCTTAGCCTTCTTGCAGCCATGGGAAACACACAGAGGAAAGAGGCTGCTGATCCTCTTGCATCCAAACTTAATAAGGTAATGGAAAAGTCAATGTTTTATGTCTGTGCTGTTCAGGCACAGGATCAGCTTTGGGAATTGCAGGCTGGAACTGATGAACCAGGCTGTGCTGGTTGGTTGGGAAGACCCAGGTATTTGCTGGTTAGGAACAGGAGAAAGAAAAAATGTCCTGCTGCTTAAAGTTGTTGCCTTTTTTCACGAGGGAGAGGAAGAATAAGGATTGGGAAGACCCAGGTATTTGCTGGTTAGAAACAGGAGAAAGGAAAAAAAGTCCTGCTGCTTAAAGTTGTTGCCTCTTTCATGAGGGAGAGGAATAATAAGGAGGAGACTTGGAGATTCCTGAGCTAGTGGGATGCAGAGAAGAAATTAAGATCGTTTGCTGGTGTGAAGAGCCCAGTAAGCTTCATGGAGAAGAGCACAGGGCTGTCACAAGTGATTAAGAACCCCTTTCTTTCTTTGACTGCCATATCCTAATGCCAAGTGCAGTGCATCCTTGTTTCACTCTTGGTTTTTTATTCTTTAAAAGCCTAAATGAACTCTCTTTACAGTTTAAAGTTAGCTTTTCATGTTAAGTCAGCATTTCTTTGTCCCGCTGATCTTTTTAAGACTAAATAGCAGTACAGTCTAGATTTTAGGAAGTTATGTGAGTTCAGCTCAGAACGTGTTTCATCTGCAAGGTTTTATAATTGTGGTGTGTACACAACAGGGCGTGTGAAGAAAGGATGTAGTTAAAATTTACTTGTATCAATAATGTAGTCACTGTGTGCTTAGCTATACATCAGTGAAATCAGTCTGTTTTGGAAGACTTATGCATGAACTTTACTATTTTCTAGACAAAATTTGTGGTCATTGCCCTGTGTTTTTTCCAATTTTTTTCCCCCATTTTTCCTACTAGTAAGTTAGTTCTGTGAAATTAAAAGGCCTTTGTACACCTGGTTGATCTGGAGGCTCATATGAAAGAGTAATGGATTTAGTTAAACTTTACTCTTATTTTGTTATTTGACACGATCTCACGTTTCAAACTGGTTTACGAGCAGAAAAGTACCCTCAGCTCTTCTGCTTCCCAGGTGACTCAGCTGACGGGTTTCTCGGACCCCGTCTACGCGGAGGCGTACGTCCACGTCAATCAGTACGACATCGTGCTGGACGTGCTGGTGGTGAACCAGACCAGTGACACCCTGCAGAACTGCACCCTGGAGCTGGCCACGCTGGGTAAGCAGCTGGGGGGCAGTGCTGCCTGGGAGCGGCCCCCGCCTGCGAGGAGGTTCCGAAAGGCTTCTGCATGCCTACAAGTTTACACCAGCCAGTAGCCGTTTTGAAAGGATGGGTTTGAGTGCCTTGAAAAATAATACAATTTTCTTCCAAAATGTGGAAGGCTTGTACCAACTGGCAGTACTATCTGGTGATACAAACCATAATCAGATTTTGATTTTTTTCATGCTTTTCCCACCAGAAAAACAGCACTCTCTTTCCCCTTCTTCCTTTTTCCTGAAATATGGACAGGATTTCTGATACGCTTATTCCCCACTGTGCTGTTACAGTTGAGCAAGAGGACAAAAACCAAACCAGTATGGAGCAAATGTCAGGCAATAGTAAGGCAGCTGCCCTGGATGGTTCTTGTGCTCAGCCTGAAGTACTTAAATACTGCATTTACTCAGCCAAAGCCATTCCCTGTACCAACAGCTGTACCAGAGCTTGCTTGGACACTGCTGAGGCTTCATTAACTTCTTTTAAGAGAGGGACTGGAGCAGACAATCTAAGAAGAGTAACTGTTTTCCTGTTAATTGTCTTCTGTTTTGGCAGTCAGGAGTTGAAATATGTTTGCAACATATTAGGAGAACACATTACATACTTCTAATTGATGTAAATATGACTGGAGGTGCCTAGCCTTCCTTCAGATCTTTTATATCATTTGATCAGCCTAATGATGGAAATAAGTAATACCTTAATAGGTTGCATTTTTTTATTTATTAGTTCAGTAAAGTTGAATTCTGTATTTTCCAGTTAGCATCCTCAGATATGTTGCAAAAACTGACCTGATGCATCACTCCTGTGCATAGAGCTGTTGCTGTTCCTGCTGTGTTTTCAAATTGCACAGCTTAATAGAACTAAGGAGTATTTTACAATTGGTTGCTAAAGGATTAGGAAAAATACATCTCTTACTGTTCCCTAGGAGCAATTATATTCAAAGTTAGGTTGATACTTTGACCTGTGTATAAATAGCTTGGTGCATGTGATAGTGGACGTTGAGCTTTGGCTTTGAGACACTTGATTGTAGGATTAGGTATTGTGATGTTGTCAGTGATTAAAACACAAGGCAGAATTAACCATTTCCTGATTGTTGAAAATTTAATAGTAAACTCAATCCAAAGACCATTTAAGTCAGTATTTGTACTTGCTTCCAGTGAGATTTGTGTGAACACACTAGTATTTTAACTGACATTTTTAATGTAATGTGAATTATTTTTTCTTGGAAGTAACAAACTGTAACAAAAAAAAAAATAAGAAACAACAACAAAAAATTCCAAATCAACTAATACCTATATGGTGGTATTTAGTGCAACTTCATAGACATTAAACTTGAATGACAAGAAAATAAAAAATGTTGTTCCAAAAACTAAACTTGGTGTGTACTGTTCCTGTTCCCTAATCCCCATCTCCCAATTTCTTTACATAGGTGACTTGAAACTTGTGGAAAAACCATCTCCTCTGACACTTGCTCCACATGATTTTGCAAACATTAAAGCTAATGTCAAAGTTGCTTCAACAGAAAATGGAATAATTTTTGGTAATATTGGTAAGTGAACAATTCAGTGTGCGAAATTAACATTAATATGTAACATTGCTTAACTGCTTAATGAGCTCAAAAAGAGTTAAAACGCTTCATGCTGGGAAAGAAAATTAAATACTCTACAATGTGAATATTTTGTGGTGATTTTTTAAAAATTATATCACTTTTACTTAAAATCATGGTAGGACATGCTACCTCTAGAATGATTCTCAGCAATATACTTGAACCCAAACCTCTGCACTTGAAGTGAGCTGGGCTGCCAGAAAGACCAACACACAACTCGGAGTTCTGTGGCAGCTGAGCAGAGCACTTGAAGAGGACAGAGGCTCTGTGGAGTGTTGTTAGCTGGCAGGTGGTCCCTGAGCACTGGTGTGTAGTGCAGACTGACCTGTTGAAGCACTGGGGTGGTTTGTGTTCTGGTTGCAGTGTACGACGTGTCGGGAGCAGCCAGCGACAGGAACTGCGTGGTCCTGAGCGACATCCACATCGACATCATGGACTACATCCAGCCCGCCGCCTGCACCGACGCCGAGTTCAGGCAGATGTGGGCAGAGTTTGAGTGGGAAAACAAAGTTAGTGTTAGTTTTTTGCACGTTATTTGGGTTTTTTTTGTTGATGAGGTATAACTCTGTTCTTGTTCTACATCAGCTCATCTTACCAACATCTTGTATCTTGTGATCTAAATCCCATTCAGCATCCACACTGGATGCTGGCGACAAGTGACTCCTTTCCTTATTGCTCTCTTCTGTTTCACAAGCCTAGTGATGCACTAGTTTTTTTCCTGCAGAAAGAGGTTTGTGCTTTGAGCCTTACCTCCTGTGAAAGGTCCAAATTGTTTGGTGGTTACTGTGTATTTTGTCATCAAGGTGAGATAGCAACAAGTGTAAGTTTATGCTGAGACTGCAGAATTACTCATACTGTTTAGCCTCTGCAGTTCTGAATTATGCTGGGGTTTTTTTGTTTGTTTTCTTAAGTCTTAAAATTTTTTAAATTCTTAAAAATTCTCAAATAGAATCATTTGTGTGGTAAGAGGCCTTTTAAAGGTCATTTAGTCCGGCCCCACTGTCATGGGCAGGGGCATCTTTCACCTTATTACTCTGTAATACAACTGTAGCACAGTGTTATGCATTCTGTGCAAGACCATCAAAGGAGGAGGTGCACTTTAATATTAGAGGGTGCCCAAACTGTCAGTTACAGACCTGTTAAAAAAGGGTTTAATGGAGATAATATCATACAACAGAACAACATAATTTAAGAATAGAGAGAAACATTAAAACAAAATGGGAGATGTGTTACACAAACTGTAGCATTGTTTGGTACATGTATTTATGTGTATTCACGTGAGACTTAAGTGCCTCAGAGGGAACTTGTGAACAATAAATTTTGATATGTGGTATGGGAAGTCTTGAGCTTTTTTTCTGTGGGGGAAAGAGGAGAAAATTATTTCTATCATTGATTAAAAGCAAACTTTTGGAATGGATAACACTTTTTTGTGTTCTGGCAGTGTGTAAATTGTTTTCAGACAAGATGTTTGTTATTTGCTAGTGGGAGTCTGCATATTCAGCAGAGTCAAGTATTCAAAGTAATTGGCATTTTTTCCCCTTCTTGAAGGTTACAGTGAATACAAATATCGTTGATCTAAATGAATACTTGCAGCACATACTGAAGTCAACCAATATGAAATGCCTGACTCCAGAGAAGGTAAGCTATGTGCTTAAAGACTTTAAGACACCTTTTTCAGTATGTGTGATTTATTGTTTAATTTATTTAGCATTTGTTAGGAATATTAATATAATATGAAATAGTACTTATACACCGAGTTTTGAAAGGAGTGGTCTGAAATGAGTAAAAGCATATTAATGTTACCAAAATTCTGTGTTGCTTAATCACTTTAACTATTTCTTGCCCAGTTAGAAAATCAGATTGTCTGTTTTGATCCATGGTAGCTAAGTTGTAGTGTGGAGTTGATGGGACCATCCATTTTTATAAAGGTTTTTATTCAGTATCTCCAAGTTCCTTCCTTTCTTCTCTGTCAAAGCTTACCTTTCTTTTGACAGCTGAGCCTTTTTGCTGTGAAGCAAAATAAGTATATACAATAGCCATTTGCTATTGAGATACACTATGTATAATAGCTATTAGCTAATATATGTAGAGGAGCCAAAATAAGTCTGGTAGCTATTGCTACTATTTAGTTTCTTTACCGTTTTACTCTTCATTAAATCAGACCATAAAATGCCATCCTACCTTGTCTTGATGAATACTGTAGATTGCATGTATTCCAATAGGAATTTTAGAAAAGGGCTTAGAGAATACACTGTTTAGAAAATGCAGTGTTTCCTGTGGGCTTGTGCTCACGCTTTGTAAAGTGTTGTAATACAGAGAAGGAAGTTTAAACGCTTAAACATCCTAGCTAACCTAGGATGAATTAAAACATGTTCAAAGGATTTTGGCCTTTCTAAGGAGTTGAACTGTGCTTTCTGCAGGCGCTTTCGGGTTATTGTGGCTTCATGGCAGCCAATCTTTATGCACGTTCCATTTTTGGAGAAGATGCCCTTGCAAACGTCAGCATTGAGAAGCCAATTCATCTTGGACCAGAGGCACCTGTCACGGGGCACATACGGATCCGGGCAAAGAGCCAGGTAACAGGGCTTAGATTGGCAGCACTCTTTCTCCTTGTTGGTTTTAAGAAAATGTACCACGTGCTTTAAGAACTTGCAGATTTTTGGATGTGCGTTAATTTCTAGCACTAGGTAAGGTTGAAAAAATTTAGAGAAGGATGAATACAGGAACTTAGTTTTAAAACTGTCGTACATGGATTTTTGTGAAGAAGAAATGTCTTTCTAATTAGGTGTAATCATACCCTAAAACCACGTTAGAGATCTGTTCTCATAGTGCATTACCATAAAATAGGCCCTTGGGCCGAGATTTCCTTATCTATAGCACAGCAAATAGGCTGTTGTAGTTTATTTGCTTTTAAATATAAAGAGCAAATGCCCCCCAAGGTTTCATGATCTGGTTCCTACTGAAATACACATTTCAATTTCACACAAGGAAATTTTATGCATGTAATTGCTGTTCACTGGTTCTTTTAAAAAACAATGGAAACAATACCCTAAGTCTTTCAGTAGGGTTATTTTCTGTGAGTAGATCTATGGATTTTAGAACTTCTACCTCCCAATGAAAAAGAAAAAAGATGAAATTTGTAACTTTTTAATAAAAATACCAAACAGTGTACCAATAGAAGTATTTTAAACAACACATAATAAAGGACTACCTGAGAGTTTGCACATAAAGAAAACATTTAATTTATAGGATGTCACTGTAAAGATTTTGGCCTGATTTAAATTGATGTTTCTGGTATGTTTACATTGGCATTTTTATGTAAGACTGCATTCAGTTACATAAGCCAGCTTGGTTACATCTTGAAATCATCTGTTATTGATTACATGGATTTATTCATGCAGTTTCTTTTGAGATTTTCAAATCACTTTTCTTCAGTTTCTATGAATTGTTAATATTCTGTGATTATTTTCTATAGCTTTAATGTGTGATTTTGAAGTATCTACGTAATGAACATCTCCTTTCTCTTCCTTGCAGGGAATGGCTCTGAGTCTTGGAGATAAGATCAATCTGTCTCAGAAGAAAACAAGTTTATAAACTTTACCTAATGTATTTTCAGGTCTTTTACAATTTAACCGTAGGTATGTGGCTTTTGGGATCCAGAACATCTTATATTCTTCAGTGTTCTGTAACTGTAGAAGCCAAGCTTTTGAGCCGAAAGCATTCCAGCAGATAATTTATAGGTTCTCCATGATTGATACTGAGCAAAACTTTACATCTCCAGGATTTTTTCTTTGTCCTGGAGGTCATGTTTTCTTTGTCTCTAATATATACTGATGCTCACAGTACAATAAACAAATTATGCCAGTACTGTTTTGTCTGTAAATTATAATCTCTGTCTTATTTGATCAGTATTGAATATCTGACCCAGGGATATTTTGATACTCTAAGGAAAGGGGAGTGTGTAATAGCTTAAGTGTTTACAGTAATGACTAGGCCTGAATTGTGTGGATATGCAATTATGACTCTTAAAATACTCTGGTATACCTAGGAGACTATATATATGCATGACAACTAAATCAAAGGCTGTGTGTTCTGACTGGTTGCTTTAGTAATGTAATCACTTGACACAGACAAGTTTGTAGTATCAAAAAAGTGATTGGCAAAATTCAGCTCTTGCCAAGAAGCAGTAGAACCTTGAACTTTGTTTCTGAAATGCTTTCTTAAGTGTTATCAGAAGTGAGTAACACAGGGTTGCTGCTGGTGTTCTCATTTTGCAGTTAATACAGAAGAGAGCCACGTGCAATATTCACGCTGGAGCAGCGTAAGCAGGATTCTCAGGGAATGCAGCCATTAGCCACATGTGTAAGCTCAGGGGGGAAGGGTTCAGACTGACTATAATTTTGTGGTGAATTAAACCAAGCTGAGGCATTGTGGAAAAGGAAAAATTGTGAATGAAGGTCAGGTCAGAATGTGGAAGTGAGTTAACACCGTTGGGCTACTAAATGCTGCACAAATTAGGAGTAGGTTAAAACATAGAACCATTAGATTGAAAATACTTGTAGCCGAATCTGATAAGCATGAACTTGGAATTTGTTAAATTGTTGCAAGAAATTAATTCTACAGAAAAGTCTTCAGAGCCAACAGTCCTCTTTCAGTTGGCAGAAGGTCCTGCTGTTGAACAGCTGTCTTCTGTTCCAGTAGGACAGAAGAGAACTGAGTTAGTGTCCCAAGTAGCTGATTCCCAAAATATTGAAGGCCTCAGTGATGAAAATACTTATTTGCCACTCTGAATGTAAATTCTGAAATTTAGGTTGCAGTATTTTATCTGGCTAAAGGGTAGTGCTACAAGTACGATGCAAAAACTGAGATAATAAGTAACCTTTACATAAATATTTTATTATCTGTTCTCCCCAATGCTACTTTTTTTTCAGCTGGCTTTGTTCTGTTCTTATAAGCATTAAATTCACTTTTCATTCCAATCCTGTTCTTAAGCTTAGGTTGTTGGAAAAAAATAGCTTACCCATAGTAAAAAATGGGGCAGATCTGTCAATGGCTACAACTTGGCATTGATGCAAACTGTAAAATTCTGGATTTTTATAACATAACAATCCTAAAATCAATAGAAGTCTGCTGGCAGTAGTTAGTTTTTGAGCCATTAGCTGTCAAAGCCATGCTTTGAATCATAGAATTGTTAAGGTTGGAAAACACCTAAGATCATCAAGTCCAGCTATCAACCCAGCACTACCATGACCACTAAACCATGTCCCAAAGTACCGCATCAACACCTTTTTTTGAACCCCTCCAGGGATGGTGACTCTACCAGCTCCCTGGGCAGCCTGGTCACCAACAATGAGTATCTAACAGTACCAAAGTCTGGGTTACTGTACTCCAGCATGTACACCTCTATCACAGACTGTACACCTACTAAAGCTATGTCTTTTCTTTAATATTCTACATTTTGAAATACCTGACTTCCAAAGCTGTGGTCTGTTTTACGATTTTCTCACAGGCACACACCTCACACTCATTACATACAGTAAGAAAAAGGAAAGGGTCTTAGCTGAGCAAGGCTGTTTCCATGAGCCTGAGGAGACAAAAAGACTTGAAGGTGGCTTCTGAAGACTCTGATTCTGCTCACTCCTATGGGCATTGAATATGGGTGTGAAGTGTACAGGTTGCAGTGATGCATGTTTCAGGTACAAATAGGAGACAGTGTTGACACTAAGTACTATGATGATGTGATTTTTAAACCCTCTGCCTGCTACAGTGGGAGGTACCAGCTTTTGTACTCCGGTCGATGTTTGAGACAGTAAGTCAGTAAGGTAGGGCAACGTGGTTTTGCTGAGTGACCTGTTTGGTTTGCAGGTTTTGAAATCCCTTTTTGGTTCTGCCATTATTTTGCTTTTTAATGAAATCTCCGAGTCGTGCATCAGGGGGTAGCAGCAGGAGCTGCAGCTCTGGATATGCAGGTCTGCCTTGGCATGACCTCACAGCAGTTGTATTGCCTCCTGTGGAGCTATGCCAGATTCAGAAGGATATAGTAGAGATAATCAGGTTATGATCTTAATTGCGTAGTACCTCATAACTTGGGGAGCACTGATGGGAGAAAAGCGTAGGAGTGTGTTGTGTGTGCTCTCCTGTGGAAATTCCATGGAGATGGGTGTGGTGCTTGGGGGTGCATGGGTGGGATTTCATTCTCTCATCACTTTAAGACAAACCGAGAGAGGAGAAAATCCCAGGGTTCCAGTGAATGGTTACATCTCTTCACAAAGACTTTGTCATCTGTAGGACACTAACAGAGATTGAGTCATAGCTGAGTGTATACTGACCAGTGTGAATGAGGTGAGTTTGCTGACCCCAGCCAAGGAAAGGATGACTTCAGAGGCTAAGAATGACTTCTAGTATCTGTCATCCAAGCCCTGTTTCAGTCACAATCTGCTGTCCTCAGAGAATGGAAAAACATCCTGGCATGTGCAGATATCCATATTTCATGCAACTTTTAGTCAGCTGGGAGTGACACATAATTTAACTTTGTTTAGGATATCTCTTGCTATCAGAACTTTATGCAAGGACATGAAAACACCTGTTCAGCAGAAGCCATTGTGTCTTCAGGGTTTGGTTCCCACCTGTCATGCTGTTCAATAGTTCTCCAGCAGAACTGGTCTTGTGCAGATGTTTTTGTTGATGGTGTGCATTTTTTCAGTAGCCTGAACTCTGAAAAAAGTTAGATGTGTGTTTCTTTTCTGTACTTCAGAGGTGAAATTCTATCCTTTGAGAGAGAGAGAGAGAGATCCTATTGTGTTTTGGCTAAGCTTTTGCTTAGTAGCTGAAATAATAGACTGAGTTTTGGTTCAGAACAGCTCTTTCTAAAGTAGTTTTTGTTCCCTAAAGAGAGACTGGCTGAGAGATTTTTTTGTCTCTGCTGGTATACAGACAGGATTCTCAGGTTGTGTTGTTTGAGCGTGGTGGTTCACAGGTCTTCAGCCACTCCTGGGCAGGGCTGTCTCTGCTTAAAAAAATCTGTACCTGTGGCAACTACCACAGCTGCTGACAGGGAAAGGAAAAGGGGGAAAGTTGATGTACGATTGTCGTGGTTTCCATGAGGATTAGCATTTGTCAACCAACAGGAGAGCTGAGAGGCACCAATGCTCCACTGATCCCATTCTCCTTAGAACAGCAATTGTTAAATTGAACTCTTAAATAATTTCTGTTGAAGTGTTCTGTCAACATTAACGGGGTGCAGAATGTTTCCTAGATAGTAGAGAATTACTCTGCATATACAGGGGAGCATCATACAGACTATCCTACTCTAGTATCCACTTACAGCTTTTTTATTGCAGCAAAACTTGGTGAAAGCCTAGTCTGTAGCTGTGGCTATGCTCTATTGTTCAAAACTTTGTACAAGGGGGTTACTAACATATTTTTTTCACAGCAGTGTGTATTGCATACACTATGCTTGGGGGAAGTAGTGTTATTCCACAACTCTGATTTCAGAAATTTGGATTAGCACAGCAATAAGTTCCCAGTAGGATTAAATGAAGCAAGAAAACTTGCTGCTTTTCCATTAAAAGTTGTAGAAAGTCATTGCTGGCATAGCAGGAAGCCAGTTTCTCCTGTGCGCCTGCTCTTGATGTAGGGCTGTGAGTCAGGGCCAGATTTCTTTATTCAGGGCCCAATGAAGATTTATATTTGTGCCCTATTTAGATGATAACACAAGAAGCAGGAATGTTTGTCTGATGACAGGCATTATGTAGGCAACTCTCAGTTGTCCAGGAGTGGAAGGGGTCATCCCAAGAAATCATGAAGGGGGGTAATAAAAAAAAAAACCCTAAATCAGTCCCTAGGGGCACATAGTTTGGATATTGACCTCTACAAAGATTGGGAAGTGGTTCCTGAGGAGACAGCTTTGTACAACTCTCAGAAACGCTGAAGCCTCCCATGAGGGGCGTTTGCTCTCTGTCATGTGAGTTTTGGCACAGCTGCAGCTGGAGTGTTGACCCAGCCGGTTGGTCCACATGTTGGGCAATAGCTGTCAATGAGCAGCATCCCATCCCCTCAGCCCGGGGTTTGGTAAGGTTTCCAGCGTTCCCGTGTGCTGCTACACCAGGGGGTGCTGTCTCACAGCCGGTAAGTTTTGATAGACTTGGGGTTTTCTTACAAGTGTTAGGAGAAAAGTAAAGCCACAAGTTTCGTCATAAAAGCAATACAGGGTAATTCTGGCTCACTCTTGGGGTCGCTCTCTGTTAGTTTTGTATATTTTCAGGTTGCCTAGCTGTGTATAGCCAGTGCACAGCGACGCGGGGAGCACAGGTTACTAATACAGTCCATCTGTTTGAATGCTGCCTTTTCTCCAGAGATTTTGCTTTTCTAAAGCATAATGAGATAGCTCTGGCTGCATACAGCTGGCCTGGGGAGCATCTCCTGTTTGAAGGACATGATATTGGGGTCAGTAAGAGAGGCATATAGGAGACATGCAGGAAATCCTGGACTTTGCCTTTACATTTGTAATACTAATCTGGGCAACTTTTGGTTTGAGCAAAGCCATAAATATCCATCTTATTTCAATAGATATTTCTCCTGGTTTCTTTTTTTGTGTGTGTATTCTGTAGCTTGTAATTTTAACCTTTTCCAAACTCTGTATCATTTTTTGATTGCATCAATACAGTATATTTAGTCAGAATGTTCCACAATTGCCAAGACTAGAATGGAGCCACTAGCAGAAGTGTGATTTGTTTTGAAAGATTGGCTTAATTCTTATACCTGAAGATTGCAGACATTTTATAATAGAGTTATATGAATTTGCACGTTACCAAACCCAAGTATTTTACATAGGTCTGCAGTTTCTGTGGTTTGCAAGTCCCTGTT